GAGTCACCACTACCACCACCTGCACCATAGAAGTAGTGACACCACTAACACCACATACACCATAGTCAAGGTGGCACTGCTAAATCTACCTGCACCATGGTCAAAGTGTCACCAGTACCACCACTTGCACCACAGTCGGAGTGCCACCACTACCTCAACTTGTCCAATAGTCGAAATGTCACCACTACCACCACCTGCACCATAGTCAAAGACTCACCACAAACACAACCTGCATCATAGTCAGAGTGTCACTGCTACCAACAACTACACCATAGTTAAAGTGTCGCAAATACCACCACCTGCACCATAGTCATGGTGTCACCACTACCACCACCTGCACCATAGTCAAAGATTCACCACAAACACAACCTGCATCATAGTCAGAGTGTCACTGCTACTACCACCAACACAATAGTCAGAGTTGCCTCTACTACCACTACGAACATAATAGTCAGTGTCCACACTACCACCACCTGCACCATAGTCAGGGTGTCACCATAACCACCACCTGCACCACAGTCAGATTGTAACCAATACAACCATCTGCACCATAGGCAAAGTGACACCACTACCATCACCTGCACCACAGTCAGAGTGTCACCACTGCCACCACTAGCACCATAGTCAGAGTGTCCCCAATACCACTACCTGCACAATAGTTGAGTTTGAGGTGTGGAGCGCCCGCTAGCTGGGGATCTGGCTGGCAGTATGGCTGTAGCTGGTGATACCCATGTTCGGCGTGTAGATACTGTATGGCTGGATTTTTCTGGTGCAGTGGACTGGCCCATTGTGGAGATTTCTCTCCTGGACGTGCTCCATGTCGACGTCTCTGATCTATTGGGGCTGGAAAAGATCTCGCCTACCTGAGTGGCGGTGTCGTTTGCCACGTCGCTTATTTACCAGGAGTTTGTGGCACGCTGGGATGCACGCTTGCTTCCTATTCTTGCTTCGGCTGTGACTGTGGAGATTCTCGGATCCCTGGGGGCCCTTGACCATTGTGAGTATTCACGGTGTGCCGGTGACCTTCCCCGAGACAGAGCTTATGTCGGTGTTTACGCAGTATGGTATGGTGGTGAAGCACCGGTTCACCACTTTGAGTGCAGACCGGCTGAAAGGGGTCCATCTGGGTGCTTGTACGCTCGTCATGCAGGTCACGAGCCCTATTCCTTCCAGGAGTTTCGTTTCGTGGGCTCTCTCTGCGGATATTTTATCAGGGTCTGACACGAACCTGTTTCCGGTGTGGCGCTGAGGGCCACATGGCGGCCAGCTGCGACGCTTCTCGTGCTGAGGCCCCTTCAATTTTCCTGGAGGATGACTTTCCCTGCTTGTCTTCGAGTGGGGAGTCCCCGGCGGATCCTCGCTCTATCCTGGTGCTAGGTGTGGTTCCTGCGGCGGTTCCGGCAGGCGTTCTGTCTGGCCTTGATCTGTCTGGCCTTGGTATGTCTGCCCCTCCGATGAGCTCTGAGGACCTGGGGGCACCTGCTTCGGATCTTCGACGTTTGGTGGTTGCGGAGGTGCATCCGCAGCCGGTTGCTTCTGTGGAGGGGGCCTTGTAGCCTGGTCTCCTGCAGACGGACATGGCAAAGTTTCTTTAACCCTGAATGCCTCTGTTACCTAGCAGTAAATAGGTACCTGGGAGTTAGTCTGTCACGGGCTGCTTCCTGGGGGTGGAGGCCTGGTCGAGGACCGGGCCGCGGGGACACTAAAAAGCCCCAAAATCATCTCAAGATAACCTCAAGATAACCTGCCGGGGCGGTGGTGTGCGAGACTCCCCCCCCCCCCCCCCCCGCCCTCTGCCTCGTCACCTCTGGTAGTTTTCTCGTTCCCACGTGCCTCTTCTATGCCCGTTTCCGTCGTCTCTGCTGCATACCTCACGTGTGCTGGAGTCTGCCCTTCCGCCTGCTGTGTCTCTTCCGTCGTCCCTGCTGCATACCTCATGTGTGCTGGAGTCTGCCCTTCCGCCTGCTGTGTCTCTTCCTTCTCCGCCTGCCGTTGGTTCTTATGGGGCACCGCTTGCTGGGGTGACAGCTCCGACGATCAGCGGCCTCTTTTTAAGCGCCGTCGTTCGTCTCGGGATGAGTCACCTCGCCGGACGTGGGCAGAGGAGCGTGATGCGATGGATGATGCTATGGACGACGCTGTGTTGCCTCCTGTGGTGCCTTCTGTGTTGGACACTGCCCCCTGCTGGTGGCTCCCCTCAGTGGGTGGTTGCCCCTTGTGACCGCGATCTCGTTGTGGTGTTGTTGAAGGATGTGCGATGGGGGGACCCTGGTCCTATTCCGGTTGGTGGGGACTCTGGTGCGCCTGCGGTGCCGCCCTCCGCGGGACTCTGCGTGGAAAGAAGTGCGCTCCCTAATGGATGGTCAGCTGTGCAGTCTGGTGTGCTTCCTGGGGTGCTGCCCTGTCACCGGCTTCCTTGGAGGAAACTCTTCCCTATCATCCTCCCGTCCGGTGAGATGGTCGACGATTCTGGTGCAAATATGTGTGTTCAATTGGATGAACGAGTGCGTCCTGTACCCTGGTGCCCTTCTACCATCTTTGTTCCGCGGGTGCGGTGTTTCATCATTGGCGTGCCGGATTTGATGCCTCGGCCTACTGCGACTCCTGGACGTGCGATTCCCGCAACGGACCAACTTGTTTGGGATGCTTACTGCCTACGATTTCCGGCTCAGGAGTACCCGGAGAAGTATGAGTGATCCATCCGTGTGGTTGGTTTCTGACTGTGTTGTGCGTGTTGTTTCCCAAGTGCCTGCGTGCACAGTTGGGCGTTTATGTCTGTGCGTGTGTGTGTGTGTGGTGTGTGTTTGTTTTTGGCTACTGCGTGGCCTGTGTTGTATTTGCGGCTTTTTTATGCTTTGCCTTTGTTCTGTATAGGTGTTTGTGCTGTGGTAGAGTGCAGTTGTGGTGTTTGGTGTTCTTTCTTAGCTGTTTTTGCGCGCACCCCGTGTGTTGGGGTGGCCGGCGTCTGATGTGGGGTGGTGTGTGTGTGTGCTTATATCTATGTACTTGTCATTGCTTTATTCTTTGTATATGTTTTATGTTATTTATGTTCTTGTGTGTATTTTTGGTTTTACTGTTTATTTGTTGTTGTGTCCTCATTTGTCTCCAGTTCTGCTCCTTTGTGTGCGGAGTCGGTCTGCCCGTGATTGTGTTTTCATTTAATCCCCTCTCTGCTCTAGGGGGGGTTGGATTTCTGTCCGTGTGTTGTAATTTTTGTGTATTTTTATTGTACGTTTTTGTTATTTTTTCTTGTATGTTTTGTTATTGTCCTTATGTCCTTTATTTGTTGTATTGTGTGCATTCTTTGTTCCATGCTGTTTGTGGGTTCTTTCTTTGTGTCCTGTGTGCTGAAGAAAAAAAATATTATTGTATAATTGTGTTATATATATATGAATATGAGTGCTTTCCTGTGACCTCTTATGTGTATATTATGTCTGTTAAATTGTGTTTGCTTTGTTTCCTGTATAAGCCGGATGGTTTTGTTTTTATATGTTGCTTTGTTCTTTGTTCCCTGTTTTTGTACTTTGGTTTTTTATATATAAAAAAAAACTGCACCATAGTTAAAGTTTCACCACTACCACCACCTGCACCATAGTCAAAGTGACACCACTACCACCACCTGCACCATAGTCATGGTGTCAACACAATTCCAGTCTGCACTATAGTCAGGGTGTCACCATTATCACAACCTGCACCACAGTCAGGGTGTCACCACAACCACAACATGCACCTTAGTCAATGTGTCACCACTATCACCACCTGATCTATAGTCAGTGTCACCACTGCCACCGCCTGCACCATAATCAGGGTGTCAAAACTACCACCACCCGCACCATAGTCAAAGAGTCACCACATACACAACCTGCACCATAGTCAGTGTGTCACCACTACACCCACCTGCACAATAGTCAAAGTGTCACCATTACCACCATCTGCACATAGTCAACGTGTCACCACAACCACAACCTGCATCATTTTTTGGGTGTCACCAGTTCCATCAACTACATAATAGTCAGAATATCACCACTTCCACCACCTGCATCATAGTCTGAATGTCACTACTCCCACCTCCTGCACAATAGACAAAGAGTCGCAACAATCACCACCTGCACCATATTCTGGGTGTCACCATCACCACCACCTGCACCAAAGTCAGTGTCAAAACTACCACCACCTTCACCATAGTCTAAGACTCACCACAACCACAACCGTCACCATTGTCAGAATATTACCAATACCACCACCACTCATCATAGTCAAAGAGTCACTATTACAACGACCTGCACCAAATTCATTGTCACCATTATTACCACTTGCATCAAAATCAAAGAGTCATTACTACCACCATCTGCATCATATTCTAAGTGTCACAACTATCACCACCTGCGCCATAGGCACAGAGTCACTACGACCACCTGCCATGAGCACTGCTCTGCACCATAGTCAAAGTGTAACAAATACCACCACCTGCACCATTGTCAGGGTGTGACTACTACCACCACCTGCACAATAGTCAAAGACTCACCACAACCTGCACCATAGACAGAATATTACGAATACCACCACCTGCACCATAGTCAAAGTGCCACCACCACCACCACATGCACCATAGTCAAAGTGCCACCAGTTCCACCACCTGCACCATAGTCAGAATGTCACCACTACAACAACCTGCACCATACCCTGGGTGTCACCACTAGCACTCCCTACATCATAATCAGAGTATCAACACTCCCACCACCTGCACTATAATCAGATTGTCACCATTACTACCACCTGCACCATATTCAGAGTGTCACCACAACCACCACCTGCACCATAGTTAAAGAGTCACCACTACCACCAGTTGACAATAGTCATAGTGTCACAACTACCACCACCTGCACCATAGTTAGGGTATCACCACTGCCATCACCTGCACTATAGTCAAAGAGTCACCACTACCACCAGTTGCACCATAGTAAAAGTGTCACCACTACCACTACCATTGCATTACTCACCAGCGTACACAACATCGTGGTCAATAAGATTGGTCTTGCACCACTGCGGGTCATCGCTGGTCACCACGAATACCGGAAAGTCAGTCCTGTGGGCACCACCAACACGATCAGTAATCCCGGGTTGGTCACCACTCTCCCAAGTCTTACACTCAAAATTATCCTCATCTATAATTATTAAATATACATTTATACATGGGTCCTACCTCTGCTAAAATTGTGGGGACCCATAATCTCAGAGAAGAGAATAAAAGATTGCCAGAGAAAACCTTACAGATTTTCCATGTACACTTTATGAATATGTTCTCCTCCTGCCATCCCTACTTTTAATTATTTCATAAAATACGATGTTTTCATTTTTTTTTACTACATTGTGTACAGAATGCACACATATATGACACATCTATCTATTTAGAGAATCCACACAACACGGACCATTGTGACAATATTGGTGATTGTGGTTTAAGCCAGTCAACTTTGGCTGGGGGTATTATATATCCCTGCGTTAACCCTTCCCCAGGTGAGTCATATACACTTGGGAAGGGTCTCTTAAGACACTTGGCTTCGTTCTCGATTCACACTCGCTAATCCCGGTTTCCTTTTACCTAAATACCTCTGTTCACCTATAAGTGAATAGTCACCCAGGAGTTGAAAAAGTCTTGTGGGGCTGCAGCCTGTGGAAGGTCAGTAGTTCCACCTTGTGGGGGCCTCGATACAAGCCTAAAGTTTATATTATAAATATATATATGTCTGAAAACTCCACACCCCAGAAGTGATTCGAACCTGGACCGCCAGGAGCACATTGCAATTGGAGTACACGGTGCCTTTATCCACTCGACCATCAGTGACCGTACAAAAGGTGATGATAGCCGAGGCTATTTGAACCACCACAGCGACAGCACTTTGATGGTAATCTTGGGCGTAGCTATTTCATCAAATCACCTAATCTTTGTGTGGCCATGTGAGCAACGCAAATGTGAACAAGCTTGAATAGTCCCCCAAGCATATATGCGTCTTAAAACTTCACACCCCAGAAGTTACTCGAACCCGGACCACCAGGAGCACATTGCAACTGGAGTACATGGTGCCTTAATCCACTCCACCATCAGTGACCGTACAAAAGGTGATGATAGCCGAGGCTATTTCAAAAACCACCCCGATGGCACTTTGATGGTAATCTTGGGCATAGCTATTTCATCAAATCACCTCATTTTTGTGTGGCCACGTGAGCAACACAAATACGAACAAGCTTGAATGGTCCCCAAGCTTAAAATGATGGTTGAGTGGTTAAGGTCTCCTGTACACCAGTTGCATAGTGCACCTGCCAGTATGGGTTTGAGTCACTTCTGGGGTGTGGAGTTTTCAGTTGAATATATGCCTGCGGACCATTCAGGCTTGTTCACATTTGTGTTGCTCACGTGGCTCCAAAATATTAGGTAATTTGATAAAATAACTATCCCCAAGATTACCATCAAAATGCCGTCAGGATGATGGGCAAATAGCCTCAGCTACCATCATCTTTTGTACGCCCTATTAGACTGTTTTACAGGAACTTCTTTTCAGCGGCTCATAAAACGGAGGAAAGGGTCCTGAATGAGATTACTGAGAGGAACGTTATCCCTACAGACAAAAATCAGAAAATATAATTGACAATATTCTACAAAAAAAAAACGGCCAATCTACTCATGAAAAACTCCCCAGACACTAAACAGAACGCCCTGAGGGAAACCAATGTCCTCTATGTCTTAACATGCCCGCTTGAGGAATGTAAGCCGCAAAGAACTCAATATATAGCCAGACAACAACGTCTTTTTCTAGGCGATTAACTATGCACAAACAACAGGGCTCCGTAAATGCACATATAATCTCTTCTCACAACCAGACATCACCAGAGAAATCTTAACAAGCAACACAGAAATCATCGATATCATCGATAAATACAGCGATAGCAGGAGACTCGACATCAGCGAGGGACTACACATTAAAAAGTCAATACCAGCAATCAATAGCCAATTAATGCACAACTATATTCTACCCACTTCAAGACTCTGAACCAACATAGAAGTAACAAGAGGAAGTGTGGGCCAATAGGCCTTCTGCAGTTTCTTCCATTTTTATGTTTTCATACCCATTGTTTCGTGTTGAGTCACCTCACCCAAAACTTTTGTGCCATATCATCTCACCCAAAACGAGTATTAGCATGATGTATGTAATGTGTAAACTAGTCTTTGAAAATGTAAGAAGCTTAAGAAACGCGTTCAGGCGTCAGACCAAAAACAAAAATGTGATGAATGAATTTTGGAGAGTTTATTTTTCAATTACTCTCGACAGTGAAGAAAAGTGTAAAACATATATATATATATATATATATATATATATATATATATATATATATATATATATATATATATATATATATATATATATATATATATATATATATATATATATATATATATTACCTCTGAACTTCTTACAGCTTCGTCTTGTGCTTGACAAGGTACGAGATCCATGCTGGGTCTGCATACTGAATACAATTCATACTTCAGGATTGGCCTTACATTTGTGCTACCAGTCACAGGATGAGTATGGGGTACACAATAAACTAGCCGCCTTTGGCGGCAACAATCAATTTGTGGTGTTGTAATGAGATCATCAGTATGTGGGTGGGGTTTGGAGTGTGTTATTGTGGTATAATGAGGGAATCAGTGGGTGGGCAGGGAGGTGGGCAGGTTCCCTGTGAGCAGGCTCTTGCTCAGAGGGAACCTGCCCACTGTCTTGGTGAGAAGGAGAGGCATCAGGCTGGTCAGAGGGAACACTCTTCGTGAGGAGAGGCAAGAGGCTGCTCTGAGGGAACACTCAAGGAGAGAAGGAGAGGCAGGAGGCTACTCAGAGGGAACACTCTTGTCGACAAGGAGAGGCAGGAGTGTAACAGGGGGGGTAAGAGGCTCTCTTTTGTCAATTAGCCCATTAGGTCCCAAACCTGCACACAAAAATAACATCACATGAGACAAGAAGGCATGGCAAGAAGTGCAGAATACCCCCGTTGAAAAGCTGAGGTGTAACAGGTACTCTGAGAGAGAATTCTATCTACATCAGAGGCCTGAGACTGTTCAACACGCTTCCACTACACTTAATGGGCATAACTGGCCGACCCCTCGCAATGTTCATGAGAGAACTGGATAAGCAACTCCAAAGGTTACCTGATCAACCAGGCTGCGATTCATACGTCAGGCTGCGAGCAGCCGCGTCCAACAGCCTGGTTGACCAGTCCAGCAACTAGGAAGCCTTGTCGACGACCGGGCCGCGGGGACGCTAAGCCCCGGGAGCACCTCAAGGTAACCTCGAGGTATGGTAGCCCGCCTTAGTTAACTATTTCTAGAGTTTCCCCAGAGTTCCTACTGCAACCTCACTAGTTCAACATCTTGTTACCTCGGTATTTAATTACCAAGGTGCTACAACCACAAGGCATTGTACCTGATCAGCTACCAGCAACTCGAGAGAACTCCAGAGAATTTCAATGCCACGAACGGAAAATAAAAATAAACAAAAAGGATGGGGTTAGTAAATGGGGTGAGGGAGGTAGAGAGGTAGAAGGAAGGTTGGAGGAGTGAGGAGTATGGGAGTTGCCAGGAGTGTGGTCAGGTGAAAGGGAAAGTTCGAAAAGATGCTGAGGGAGAGACTGAGAACACGGAGAGGAGTAGAAGTTTGTAGAGTAGTAGAAAAGGTAGAAGAATAGAAGCAGAAAGTAGAAAGGGCTGCCACCATCCATTCTAGTTCAGTTCATCCAAGACAAGGAATGGAACTTGTCTGTACTCTAGGCTGTTATCAAAGGTATTTGCTATAAGCATGTACTCATACTCTTTAAGCCAGTGAACTCAGAGTGCTCCACACTCTAGCGTGCAATATATCAGGAAATCCAAGATCTAGGGAACACAATTAAAGTCAGATTAAAAAAGTAAGTTAATCAAATATATATTTAACATGATAAGTATTATAATTCAAGCACTCGAACTTAATGTTCACTATGTCAGGATAAATATACAATGTGAGTCATTACACAAGACATTAAGACCACTATTAAGACACAGGCAGAGTCCTCCCCCCCCCCCCCTCCGTCCGGCCAACAGCCTGTCTCGGCTGCTGTTCAATTGTCCAGCCTTTCTGTCTTCTCTCTTCTCTGCTGATGCTCTATTCTCTCGAATGTACAGTTCCATTGATATGTATGGGGAAGCTTGGAGCTAAACCCCGCCCACTAAGTAGATAGCCTCAGGCCATCTACCTACCACGCCTTACACAGCGGCTTGTTTGAAGGACATACCCGGCTATTTGGCTACAAATATCAGCTTAGCAAAAGCAAGGTCAAGTCACACGACTTGACCCCCTGGTCAACTTGGGGTCATTATCTCCTCTAGGTGTGACTTCTTAATTACTAGGGCCAGACAATCCGGCGCCCCAAGTATCCTGTCTGACTGAATCTCGTTGTATGCATAATATTAAATAATTTACAACTAAAGACCTTTATGATGTTACAGGAGGCAGCTCAAAGGGAACACTTTGAAAGGCAAAGTGTTCCCTTTGAGAACACTTTGAAGGAAAGGAAGGACCCTACTCAGAGAGAACACACTTAGTGAGAAGAAGGAGAGTCAGGAGGCTGTTCTGAGAGAACTCACTTGGTGAGAAGGAGAGGCAGGAGGCTGCTTAGAGGGTACGGTCTTCGTGAGAAGGAAAAACAAGAGGCTGCTCGAAGGAAACACTCTTTGTGAGAAGGAGAGACAGGAAGCTGCTCAGACGGAACACTCTTGGTGAAAAGAAGAGTCAGGAAGCTGCTCAGAGGGAACTCGCTTGGTGAGAAGGAGAAGCAGGTGGCTGCTCAGAGGGAACACTCTTTGTGAGAAAGAGAAGCAGGACGCTTCTCAGATGGAACTCTCTTGGAGAAAAGGAGAGGCCGGAGTCTGCACTTAGGGAACACTCTTGGTGAATAGAAGGGGAGGTAGCTGTCTGCTCAGAGGTAACACTCTTGTTGAGAACGTGAGGCAGGAGGCTGTTCAAAGTGTACACTCTTTGTGAGATGGAGAGGTCATAGACGTAGCAACCATTGGAGACGAAGACATAAAAGAAATGATTCTGTAATGAACTTATCCGTAAGGAACATCTGCACTGGGTCCAAGTGTTTATGGATTGTTGCCCGGAGCATGTGAAGACATGCACTGTGGCAGCCCGTCCTCATAAACAAATGCCAAAATCATTTGGTAAGTTTATGAATGTTTATGAATGAAAAACGGCTTACACCCGACTCACAACTGATGACGGCCGAACACTTCCGGAACAAGTGCTTCGTTAACGACTTACGTTTGAACCACAACGCTGTAAATGTCTGCGTATTACCCACGAATTACAAGTATCAATAATCGCCAACTGAACCTAAACACCTAACCTAACAAATCCAATGCCTAAATATGCACAATATATATTGTAGTATATTTAGGGTAGTGGTGTTGTAGCCAGATTATCGTATAAAATTTAGTTAGTAGTTCTCTTTCAATGTATTGGCAACATGAGCAATTTAAGCATGTATATGAGTGTGGTGAACGCATTCGAGACGGTGTGGTGGTTGGCTCCTGTACTTTGGAGGGCATAATTTAGGAGAGTGTCACCAGTCATGGTAGGCTGGGTGGCTGTCCTCGGGCGGCATCCCAAAGAGGTGACTGGAAGTGACTTTTAGGGGAGGTCTGAGACATGGACAGAGGGCTTGTGGGTGTTAAAGCACGTTACATGTGACTGAATGGGGTTTGGACAAATTGAGTAAATTGTGATGCACCTTCTGTAAGCTGTAATAGACAAAAGTGAAAGCAAAGTTTGATGGGAATAAATGCAATTTTCCACAAACGCAATCTTTCAACAAAATAGCACTTTTATCCTTGCTTTTCTTTGTTCCTACAAAAAAAAGGCAGCATATTATTTTGAAAATAAATTACAAATGAATATGTCTGATACAATTTAGAGGTATATATTGTGGATATAGAACATAAATATATATGTGTTTAATATGGAATAGATATATGTATTTTAAATATAGATCAGATATAAGTTTGTTGGATGTAGATTAGAAACAGATTTGTAGGATATAGATAATAGATAGATATGTTGGATATAAATTAGAGATAGATATGTTGGGCATAGATTAGAAATAAATGTGATTAATGTTGATTAGAGATATGTTCAACGCGGATTAAATACATTTGACATAAATTAAAGAGATACATGTTGGACATAGGTTTGAGATAGGTATTAAGGATGTAGAATGAAATAATATATGTTACATGTAGATTATATATAGACATGTTGGATAGAGATTAGAGATACATATGTTTGATATGGAGTACATATAAATATGTTGGGCATTGATTAGAGTTAAATACGTTGGAAATAGACTACATATATATGTATGTCGGATTCAGATTAGTGATAACTCTGTTGGATATAGATTAGCTTCTATATAGATATAGATATCTATATTGGATATAGATATAGATATCTATATTGGATATAGATATATCTAACTAACATTAGATATAAATAGATAATAATTTTTTTGAATATAGATGAGAGATTTACATGTTGGATATAGTTTATAGATTGGTTGAATTAAGATTACAGATATATATGATAAGTAGGTATAAGAGCTAGATATGCTAGATAAATTCATGTATATATATATATATATATATATATATATATATATATATATATATATATATATATATATATATATATATATATATATATATATATATATATATATATATATATATATATATATATATACATACATATATATTAGAAATAGATATGTTGGATATAGATTAGAGATGGATATGTTGGTATAGCATGTAAGAGTTGGTAGCACAGAGCCCAGTTCGACCAGCAGTAAGAGCAGCTGGGAAATGGTTTTCAAACTTATCACGGTTTGTGTAGATGAGTATACTAATAATAGTTTACAACGTTATCTGTAGAGTGAGTCTGGTTTAATATTTAATCAATTGGTGGTGTACTAACATGTACTAAGAGTCAGTTTGGTGGATATTTATATAAGGTTTACTGGTTTAGTAAGACAATGTAATGAAAAATACCACAAGATTATTTTATAAAGTGCTCGGGCATGCAGCCTTTATGTTTCAATAACAAGACATTGCTACTCACCTGTTTCTGAAGAAATTAAATGCTTCATGAAAATATATCATATCTACGGGATATTCTTTATAAAAGTTCTTGACGTGTTTGAGGTAGTCGGTCCTGCGAATGTGGACCGTAATTATTGTGATGACTGCTGAGGAGTCAGTGTAAACTCTCTTAACTGCATCGTCAAGCGCAATTCTTGCAGTTTTAAGAACTTTCTCTGAGAAAGCGAACTCGTGACGAAATTGGTCCCTTAGGGGAAGGAGTAGATGCGCCGGGCACGGGTAGTCCGAGACATAAACAGACTCCATGAGGGGGTAATGTTGCAGCTGCAAGTCAAACATCGCTCTACTTCTGCTTGGGGTCTTGGCCGCAAGCTTCTTGTACAGCTGGATGAAGGTGTCTTGTGCAGCGTGGCCCGGGAAGCACTTGTGGTTTTCAACCGGCAGACTCAGCTTGGGGAAGATTGACCCAAGTTGACTGTTCATATGTTCAGTAATTGCAGCCTGCGCAGAAATATACAGTAGTCATAATACTCGAATTTGTTATAACTTCAGAGTCATTCTGTTAAACATTTACTTGCACTAAGTATATAGATGAAGATATAGTGGTGATACAATGACACCTAAACACGTAGATAATACATATTGATAGCTGTTAATTTAAGAACCTTATATAAGTCGTCGGCAATGTCTTTATCTCAAGCTTGGCTCACAAGAAGCTTATATTAGATAAATCAAACGTTTTTAAAACCACTTGGACTTGACGCAAGACCGATGGTCTTGCGTCTTGCAGATCGGTGTTCAATCCCCGACCGCCCAAGTGTTCGACACCATTCCTTACCGGTGTATTATATCAAACCCTTAGTCTCATGTTCCTCCCAAGTGCTACTTAATCGTAAAGGCCTAGCGTTCTCGTCTCATAATTATCTTAATAGGGAATGATAGTTTGTTTTAAAGGAATACCTTTAAAACAAACTATCATTCCCTATTATGTCACATTCTTAGTTCCTTTGTTAATACAGAAACAGACCATATTTGACCACATCTTTCATTTTCACATTTCCTGCTGCGGTTATTATGAGAGGAAAATACAACTCAACATCATCCTACCTTGTACACTGTTACAACACCCTACCTTGTACACTGCTACAACACCCTACCTTGTACACTGTTACAACACCCTACCTTGTACACCGCTACAACACCCTACCTTGTACACTGTTACAACACCCTACCTTGTACACCGCTACAACACCCTACCTTGTACACTGCTACAACACCCTACCTTGTACACTGTTACAGCACCCTACCTTGTACACTGCTACAACACCCTACCTTGTACACTGCTACAACACCCTACCTTGTACACTGTTACAGCACCCTACCTTGTACACTGCTACAACACCCTACCTTGTACACTGCTACAACACCCTACCTTGTACACCGCTACAACACCCTACCTTGTACACTGCTACAACACCCTACCTTATACACTGCTACAACACCCTACCTTGTACACCGCTACAACACCCTACCTTGTACACTGCTACAACACCCTACCTTGTACACCGCTACAACACCCTACCTTGTACACTGCTACAACACCCTACCTTGTACACTGTTACAACACCCTACCTTGTACACTGTTACAGCACCCTACCTTGTACACTGTTACAGCACCCTACCTTGTACACTGCTACAACACCCTACCTTGTACATCGCTACAACATCCTACCTTGTACACTGCTACAACACCCTACCTTGTACACTGTTACAGCACCCTACCTTGTACACTGCTACAACACCCTACCTTGTACACTGGTACAGCACCTTACCTTGTACACTGCTACAACACCCTACCTTGTACACTGTTACAGCACCCTACCTTGTACACTGTTACAACACCCTACCTTGTACACTGCTACAACACCCTACCTTGTACACTGGTACAGCACCTTACCTTGTACACTGCTACAACACCCTACCTTGTACACTGTTACAGCACCCTACCTTGTACACTGTTACAGCACCCTACCTTGTACACTGCTACAACACCCTACCTTGTACACTGGTACAGCACCTTACCTTGTACACTGCTACAACACCCTACCTTGTACACTGCAATCATCACATGAGTGGTGTTGCAGTCATAGGATATCCTGAGATGATTTCGGAGCTTAGCGTCCCCGCGGCCCGGTCCTCGACCAGGCCTCCTTTTTGTTAACCCCCCCCCCACACCCCCAGGAAGCAGCCCGTAGCAGCTGTCTAACTCCCAGGTACCTATTTACTGCTAGATAACAGAAGCATCAGGGTGAAAGAAACTTTTTGCCAATTTAGCTCCGACTCCGCCGAGAATTGAACCCGGAATCTCAAGACTACGAATCCGAAGCGCTGTCCACTCAGCTGTCAGGCGCCTCTGACTTTTGTCATCACAAGGGTGATGAAACATTTATCACAAGGGAGATCATAAGTAATCTAACAGTAATGATACAGTATCATATTAATGGAGATGATACAGTATCAAATTAATGGAGATGATACAGTATCATATTACTGGAGATAATACAGTATCATATTACTGGAGATAATACAGTATCATATTACTGGAGATGATACAGTATCATATTAATGGAGATGATACAGTATCAAATTAATGGAGATGATACAGTATCATATTACTGGAGATAATACAGTATCATATTACTGGAGATGATACAGCATCATATTACTGGAGATAATACAGCATCATATTACTGGAGATAATACAGTATCATATTACTGGAGATGATACAGTATCATATTACTGGAGATGATACAGTATCATATTACTGGAGATGATACAGTATCATATTACTGGAGATGATGCATTAATAAATTAAGCCTTACCCAAGATTTAGGTAAAGTTTGCCACGAGCTCTGGGAAGGGTAGGGTAGGTCGGGTTGGGTAAGGTTTATCACAAGCTCTGGGAAGTTTAGTGAAGGTAGGGTTGGGTAAGGTTTACCACGAACTCTGGGAATTTTAGGGCAGGTTGGGTTGAGTAAGGTTTACCATGAGCTCTTGGAAGGGTAGGGTAGGTTTGATTGGGTAAGGTTTACCACGAGCTCTTGGAAGGGTAGGGTAGGTTAGGTTGGTTAAGGTTTACCACGAGCTTTTGAAAGAGTAGGGTAGGTTAGGTTGGGTAAGGTTTACCACGAGCTCTTGAAAGGGTAGGGTAGGTTAGGTTGGGTAAGGTTTACCACGAGCTCTTGAAAGGGTAGGGTAGGTTAGGTTGGGTAAGGTTTACCACGAGCTCTTGAAAGGGTAGGGTAGGTTAGGTTGGGTAAGGTTTACCACGATCTCTTGGAAGGGGTTAAACTACTAGGAGTGAGGAGTGGCCAGGTGTGGGAAGACTATAAGAGTGTTGAGAGTGACTCACCCGGACGCCGAAGACCTTCCTGATGACGGCCAGAGACATATACTGGCAGATGTTGTTGCCCAGGCGGCCTTCTGCATTCATTGTGACATATGGCAGCCGGCACTCTGTAGGTGGGGACCACAGGTGATCATCCGTGTTGACACTCTGCTCATTTACACTCTGCTCACTCACACTCTCCTCACTCACACTCTGCTCATTCGCACACTCTGCTCACTAGTTGGGGTAAAGAGGACTACGACCATGTGCATTATTTGGATGATGGTGTGCAGAACCCGTAGATTTAAATTTGGGTTGAGAATCCATATATGATATCCTCAAAACGAACCCAGAGTCAGTGCATTTCAGACTTCTTATCATATGCCTCTGTATGACTAACCATCCTGTGTGATGGGGATTTGTTAGCATCATGTAGCTAGCTTTTTGACACTGTACTCCCTTTCATATAGTCTAGCGTAGCTGCACAAATGCAGATGTACCTAAATGTGTGAATAAAAAAAATGATTTTTTTATTTTTTGTTATAATATGTGCAAAGCCGTAAGCTAAAATGAGAAAAGGTGCCCAAAGTCCGTAGACTTAAATGTGCACTAGTGTGTAAATCTCATAGACTAATATTTGTGTTGACTTGTTTTTCTTTTCAAAATGGTGTTCAAAAACTGTAGACTAAAAGGAGAAGAGGTGTGCAAAGACTATTGACATAAATAAGAACTAGTGAGCAAAGCCTGTAGACTTGAATAAAAACTAGTGTGCAAGGTTGAAGAGTAAAAATGAGAAGTAGTGGTATCTCATTAGTTAGGAATAGCTACTAAAAAAGCAAAATAGTTCATATCAAAATAGAGTGTATAGAGAAAAAGGATGAATTAGTGAAAGTAGATGATTAATATATGCAGATCTTTGTCAGGTGAGATGTATCAAGTTAAAAAATGTGAGGAAAAAAGGTACAAAATGTGATTTAGTAAATAAGAAAACATACATATATCATATTCACTCACTCACTGGAGACTGCAATTCACATTTCAGACAGACCCTTCACATTCCCACTCACTTCAGTAGCAAGGAGAGGACAAACTTTACTGCGCCTATTAGCTCATTACTACCACAGTTACTCTGGGAGACATGATTAACCTCGCCTACCCCCACCTGCTAACATTATAGCTACCACCACCACCAGTGCACTGGCATCCTGCTCTCGCTGGATCACTCCATGATCATCCTTTATTACTACAATAATGTTGACATCAGACACAAAACCTCGCATCTCGTTTTTTTCTTGCTTTGACTAATCTAGTAATTCACGCTTGACATGTGAATAAATAAATAGCATTATATATACTTCACACATGTTTGTAAAATATGCCTCTGCTCAAGCCTGCTCTACTACACATAGACTGGCTGGGTGAGCTGTTGATAAGAGCATCCCCTCCTCAATTGCCTAGTCTGTTATGTCAAATTGGAGAGGGAGAGAGAGAGAGAGAGGAAATAACTTTATTACATGATAATAAAGTTATTTCTCACCTAAGCCTACCAAACACGACTTTCCCCTCTGGCTATCAGCCCACCACTACGAGTCAGCTACCAACATCACCGAGAGGAGGTAGCACCCTACCACCGCTGCACAGGCTACCTGCCCGCCAATGCTCCTACCACCACTCCCTTCCCACAAGGGAAATAGTCTTTAAACTGATTATCATTAATTCTTTATAACATCTTATATCTTAACTAATTTTTATGTAAATAATTATTGATAAGCAGTGAGTAGAGATATTCATCAGCCAACTATTTTCATCTCTGTGATTAAAAATTGTCTGTCCCTTTTTGTTTTCACCTGCTCATCGGTCTTTGTCTCCCCCTTTAGGGGATAATAACACATATTAGATACAAATCATTTAGAGACAGACTAAGAGGTTGAGAAAGAGTAATGCAAGCTTTCATTTGTAAGATCCCTTAATCCAATCAAGGACTCTCATGAGCACATCAGTCTACCAATACCCCATGCAATAGATAATGTCCGTCTTTATCCATATGCATTTTATCTGCACACTTCTAGATAACCAACGCGCTTTGACCGTACTAGTAATTAAGAGCTTAACATAGCGTAAATTACATTAAAGAGTTATAAAGATGTGTCTCGTTCCTCCTGCTGAGAGGATAATGGGATGAATTAATTATTTGCTGAGCGCTAGTGGTCTACTCCAGCCATAGCTTGCACCCCACTTATATAGGTATGTATTTCATTATAATTCACTTCAATCTCTCCCAGTCCAAGTTCCACAGGAAGCTTTCAAATTATTTATTACAAAGTATTTATTGTTATAAATTATTTACTGCAAATATTTATTTAGTCATTTAATAAAGTTCATTTTCAAAAACTACAACAATGCATTTCTGCTTATCAACTTATTATTTATTACTAACACTGTTCTTAAACAAACTATGTATAATGCAGTAACTAATTTACTAAAACAATCTTTGTTTCATGATTCTTAACTAAAATGACTATTCAAAAATGGTGAAAGGAATCTTACATCACTTTTTCTTAATTAACATTATACTTAGTGGGGTAAGAAAAATAGTCATAGGTGATTTCTTCATAACTAAACCTATTCTATGGATCATTTTTACACTCCAACATTACACGTAATGTTACCAAGATCATTCATCGACTCACCAAGGTTACTCCTGTTGTCATCAAAGATCATCTCAGACATCAATATTACACTCAAAACCATCAAGAAATACTCTTCAAGTTATCAAGAATACACTCAGGGACATCAAAGTTAACCTCAGTGACATCAAGACCACACTCAGTGACATCAAGAGTACTCTTCATCAACTCAAGAATATTTTCAAGAGTAATCAACGTTGATCTCAGATCCATCAAGGTTATTTTCTAACTCACCAGCAAGTATCAAAGAAAAAATCTAAGACTTCAAAGGATGTTCGCCAAACATTTTTACATAACAAGCATAGTATCAGGTACATCTTTTCGTACTTATGGATACGATCCAGAACGCTAACCCATTATTTCAATCAACTTAAGTCAATCTTTTCAGATCACATCTTAATTACAAATGGAACTTCAATAGTCAAGGATATCGTTCCTGCATCATATGTTAACAATAGTTTGTGTTAAACTTACTATGTCATGTCATTATGTAGTCACAATCAGCTTAAGCTATTATTTCAAACTAACATGTACCACGTTTCTTAACATTTACATTATTTCTTATTTATGTAACTTCCATTAAGGAGTAGTTTTTCTGTCATATTTATTATTATTAAGAAAAAACTTTTACCAAAGTCATAGCTTGTAACGTAGCTTGTTATTCAATAACTTTTTCATAACTATATATCTCTGACCAAACTTTCTGTCAACTTAATATAAAGGTGCTAAGACTAGCATGTTATCTGCACTTATTATGTTCACATCTCTGATAATAATATTTCTCTCACACATACAAACAAAAACTATTATTTAAGTAACTAAGTAAGTAATTATCAAAAGAAGGCACCAAACCGGGAAGGCTATGTAGCACCATCAAATACGCAAAATAATCAGAGGGCGCTAAATATCACCAAGGATGCCAATACGAGAACAAAAACGCATAAGGCGAACGATATCAAAAGTATCTGAGTCACCAAGAATTCTATCGAGGGAAAGGTGACCGCGAGGGGCGGTCGGAAAGCAAGACACACGCTCGTCCTGGAAGTCAGGACATTCAAGAAGGACATGCACGACCGTAAGAGGGACAATGCAACTAGGACAATAAGGAGCAGGGCGGCGCTCCATCAAGTGACCATGGGTTAAGCGAGTATGGCCAATACGCAACCTCGCTAGAGCTGTTTCCCACCGCCGGTTACGGTGGAAGGAGGACGGCCACGAGGAAACACAACATTTAAGAGTACGTAGCTTGTTACCAGTAACAGACAACCAAGAAGCCTGCCAACGGGTAAGGACTGAGGAATGGATAACCGGGTAAAAGTCGGAATACGGAATGCCTTTACGAGAGATGGGACAAGAGCGGACAGCTTCCTTAGCGGCAGCATCCGCACGCTCATTTAAAGACACGCCAATATGGCTGGGAACCCAACAAAACTCAACCGACTTAAATTTACTGTGAACGAGAAACAGCCAATGCTGGATCTCGACAACTACCGGATGAACTGGATTAAAGCACCCGAGAGCCATGAGGGCACTACGAGAGTCAACAACAACCACAAAGGAAGACTGACAACGAGAAAGCAGGAGACGAAGAGCATAGAGAATAGCATAAAGTTCCGCTGTAAAGATGCTAGTCTCCGGAGGCAAGCGACACATATAAGTGCGATCAGGAAAAACAACAGAGTAGCCAACACCTTCCGCTGACTTAGACCCATCGGTGAAGACAGAAACGGAGCGGGAGTGAGAAGAAAAGTGCTCGAGGAAAAGGCGTTTTAGAACTGTAGGAGGGGTAAAAGCTTTAGTGATACGAGTCAAGGATGTACAAAACCGCGGAAGAGGGACCCTCCACGGGGGCAAAGAAGGAACAACACGAGGAGAAACATCAGAAATACGAACGGAAAGAGAATCCTGCAGGCGAGATAACCGGACAGAAAGAGGGAGGTGGTGAAGAGGAACAGGAACCGCAGGAGGGGTAAAAGTTAAAGCACGACAAAGACGAGAGGAAGGATGTTGCAAGGACCGCGCAAGATAGCGAAGACAGTAGCGATCACGGCGGTCCTGGAGAGACAGGAAGCCAGTGTCAACATACAAGCTAAGGACGGGAGTCGAACGAAAGGCACCAGAACTGAGGCGCAACCCAGTATGGTGCAAAGCATCAAGACGGCGAAGAGTAGAAGGAGAAGCAGACGAGTAAGCAGGGCAACCATAATCGAGCTTAGACAGGACGAGAGAGGAATGTAAAGCAAGGAGAGTGCGCCTATCTGCCCCCCAAGAAGTATGGGACAAGACCCGAAGGAGGGTAAGGGACTTAGAGCACTCAACACGGAGGTAAGAGATATGGGGAGACCAAGACAAACGAGTGTCAAGGAATAACCCCAAAAGCTTCGCGGAATCTTTGTATTCAAGGGGATGACCATAAAG